TTGAAATATAAATGTAAATTATTGACATGAATACTGCTGATATATTAAGATCTTATTGTGATGTGATCAGCTGTACTCTTTTAAGTATAATGACGTATTAAAAAGCCCTGACTACTGTTCCATTCAGCGTAATTTTCCATGGATTCCTAAAGAATTATTATAAAACAATCTGTATTTTGTGCATTTTTATTTTTGTCTTTAAATTACCATATTAAATATTTAAAAAAAGATGTACATACATTTACTGTTTCCATCAATCTTTGGTATGGTGGACCAGTTTGATTTAGAAAAACATCAGCAGCATGGTAGCTTGTAGAATTATCTACTCAGCTGCTCTGTTACTTCATACTAATTAAGATTCATTGTATTTAATTTAGCTTGTGTATTCTATTTTACTTTTGAAAACAAGTATTTTGAATGAATGAAGTTGTATATTTTTGAAAGAAATTCAAACTAAAATGTGTACATTAAAATAAACAAGATATGTATTCTAGATGAAATTTATGTATTATGTAGGAATTTATCAAATTGATTTAATGTCTTGATTTATTGCATTGTGAATCAAACAGATTTAATAAAAATTAATTTGTTATTAATTTGGAAAGCATTTCAGTATCTAACTTTTTGTATTATGATTAAATGAATCTTTTTATTCAAATTTTAAATCAATTTTGTTGAAGTATAACACAACTATTTTGTGTATACTTCAAAAAAAATATTTTTTTTAAGTACAATATTATGCACAATTATTTTGCTGTGTAAATTGATCTTGCGTGTAAACTGTTTTGCTTTAGTGTTTTTTAATAAGATTTATTAAGTTTATGACAACTAGTATATTCATGTGTGGAATTTTTTGTGATATTTTTTAAAGTAAAATTTTAACATTTTCTTTAATATAAGGAAGATTCATGAATTTGAGAAAAAAATGTGAAAATAAATTAGTAATCCAAGGTTGCAAAAATGCAAGATTTTGTTGTCACTGTTATTTTAGTTTTTATTCCAAAACTATTTAAATGTACATAGCTTTTGCACATAGCTAAAGTATGGTCTCCTCTTTTATTATAAATCACTTTAAAATACTTTTCTAAATATAGTTTTGCTCTTGCTGATGTCTTTCTGAATTCATTTATGGAACTGAACATAAATTTCTTTAAAAAAAATTTTGAAATTCAAAATTAGTTCCATTGATCTTTCGGCATGTTTCATTATCAAAATTTTGGCAAGATTTTGGTTTTTACTTTCAGCTGGATAATTATGAAATCAAAAGTGGCAAGAATCTGAAAGTCAATGTATCAGTTCCAAATCTTCGGCTTTTTGTCGGTAACATCCCAAAGAGCAAGAGCAAAGAGGAGATTTTTGAAGAATTTGGTAAATTAACAGGTATGAAAAATTAATTTTGATAGGTAAATTTCTAATTTTTAATAAATTGGGAAAAAAACTGGTCAAAATTTCTGTCTTGGCCTTGTTTAGTTTCCAGTAAATATCTTGTCAAAATTATTTTATATTTAAATTTTACAATAATAATTAGACAACTGGGTGTACTTTAATCTTCTAGCTTGCTTAAATGTTTGTACTTTCAGTTTTGATTGCAATTTTATTTCACCTCAGTTATGTGAAATATAAAAATTTCATATATGTATTTAAGTTTCAGGGCAAATTTATGATAAATAGTGGTGAGTGTCTTCTAAGGAAACCAGTATTGTATTAAAAAGTGGGGAAAATTAAAGCATATAAATTTAGTAAATAGATGTTAGAATTCTCTCTATTTGAATCTAACAAATTAAATTCTTTTTTCCCTTTACTAATGGGCTTGGATTAAGAGCAATCATCCCAAGGCCTAATATTAGTATTTCTCTTAATTTCGTTTCTCTGTTAGAAATGGCATTCTGTATAAGATTACAAACTGATCTACATGAGCAACTTTCATAAAAGTTTTATCATTTTATGAAAGTTGCCCCCTATTTTTTATATATAGCATGATTTTCATGTGTTCCATAGCTGCCAACTGTATTCAGCTTTCACTGGTGAAAGTGTTTTCCAGCAATAAAATTAGATTTTAGAAATAAAATTTGCACCGATATATTATTGAATTAATGAAGCTTAAATTGTGTAAATTTCATCCCTCTATTCCTAGTGGTATTTAGCATACTTTTTCATATTAAATTTTTAATCATTTATAGCAGGTGACAAAAAGTATCTTGTAAAAACTTCCGTTCCACATTCATAATTTGTTCCAGTACAAAAGCATAAGAAAATTGCAAAATGAAGTTAGCCAAAGAAAATAAAATTAAGGCTATGTAATTAAATATTAATGTACCTTACTCCACAATCATATTATAAGTAATTAAATAACCTAAATAATGTGTTATAGTGCGACTTTAAATGAATTTTGAGCTCTTTTAAAATAGTACCACCGTATAGCAAGAAAGCCTTCCAGAAACACTTGGCTTTTCATATTTTAAGGTTGGCAGCTATAGTGGCTGTACCTTTATGCCATGGAAACCTTATGAAGGTTTTTGTTTTTCAAATGATGATTAGCATATATATATATATAGGTCCTTGAAATATTTATGATAGGGCATAATTATAAAACAATGTCTGAATTATCAACAGTGTTAGAAAATTCAAATGTGATCTCCTTCTAACCACATTTTTTTCTGAGAAAGCTAAATGCACAAAAGAACAGCGATATTGTCCCAAAATTTCGAGTTTTAACGATATTTTTGTTATACTAAAGTTTGCCTCCATTACAAATATCATCTGTACAAACAGTTTGCTTTGTCGTGTTTTGGAATTTGAAAGAAAGAAATGCTCTTTTAGAACACCATGTTATGATATTTGTAAAAAAAAATATCGTTGTCACTAAGTACAAGGTATCTGAAATGGAACTTATGATGTTACCAGGATTAGAACCATCATTTACTTCTAGTTCTGTTGCAAAAAGTTAGCTACAGAATGTCACCAAATCATGTGTATAGCTTTAGGTACTAATGTTGTGTCATATGACGCTGTGAAGGATTGGTATGGAAAGAACGAGGACTATGACATTCAAGAAGCAGAGCACTCTGGCTAGTCTACTAATGTTGATGAGGCCCGCCTGCTAGAACTTGTATAAGATCAGTGTGCAACCAGTCGAGAGCTGCCTAAGGAGTTAGACATTGGTGCCATGTCCATTAGTTGTGCTATGCATCGCATGAAGTTGACATACAAGTTCAATCGCAGGGTGCCACATGAGCTGATTGAAGCAGATAAAGACAGACGTATTCGGACCTGCACTAATATGCTCAAATATCAACGCAAGGACAAAATTCTGGACTGGATTGTCACTTGTGATGAAAAGTGGATTTGCTTCAAGAACACAGGCTAGTCCTTACATACTTTTGCTATAGAGAGGTGTTTAATTTAAAAACTATTGATATTAATGTTATTAGAACCTCTTCTGTTAACAGAATTAACTAATCATAATCAATTTTATCTAACTTTTCATCTTTTTTTAAAGTAAGATATTTTAATTACATCAAATAATGTGCTGTGAAAAGTAATTTAACTGCATTATAAATTATTTTTTTAACATTAACTTTGTTACTCTATGTTATAAAGAGTAAAATTTGTTCAACTGTTAATTTGTGCATCTACATGATTTCTGTTTTTCCAGAACAAGCAGTCGTAAATGTGCCCCGGAACAGCATATATGAAGAAATACTATTAAGTTACTGTAGGAAATATGTTAATTTTTAAAAAATTTTTCTAATGGATGTGATGTTTAATGCCGTATATTTTATTTCAAAAATGATTAAACAATCTGCCTCTCTTAGAAACATTTTAAAACTGTTCCAAAATTTCACTTTTGTGTGTGTGGTTGTGGTATTGCATATTGAATCAGTTTTCAGTTACTTTTTAATCTTGCTTTTTTATCAGTCGTATGTAAATAGTGTGAGCTTGATAGTCTTTTGTAGTTTATTCAATCAAATAGATCTATCAATATATCAAATTTATCTATAAGAGTAATTTTAATATAAATTTTCTCTTCGTGTTTGATATTTTATTTCAATTAGTAGATCTGAAACTAAAGTTGTTGAAAAAGTCTTGCAGTTCTTGTAATTCAGGGTCAAAATGTCTTTTAGAGCATTGTGTGTCTGTGTGAGTACCTGCACATATACACAGAGTGTAATGAAACTTGTGGGTGCAACTTTAAGCGGTGATAGAATGTGGCGAAAGTAATTTTCACAATTCATTGCATAAAAGTGTGAACATAATAAGTGCAGAGAATATGGAAAATGAAAGGCCATTATAATCAGAGATGTTTATAATAATTGCTCAAATGAATATCACTAACTGTTGTATATTTACTGCATATGGCTAAGTGATTGGCATACACTGTGGAAAATGCCTTGCCCGAAGTAGCACTGTTACTGCAGAAATATGCAATATACATATTTCTCCATTAGTAGTGCTAGTTCTAATGACAAGCTTTTCCTGTGTTTTTCCTTTTACATTCCAGCACACATTGTATTATAAAATGCTACTTTTTCTGTGTTGTATCAGTCATTTGGGTTGTGACTTCTTATTGCTATTACATCCTGTGTGTGTACACAAGTAAATAATGTATGCATTCCCTCCTTTTTGTAACACATTAAGGACCATAAAAAGATTGTAAGCAAATATCACCAAAATGTAGACCCAGCAAGTTTTAATTTACAGATGCATAGTTGTAATAACATGTGACTATCAGATATTTAAAAGTCCTAGGAGAATTTTCTTACTATTGCCCCCTCTTTGCTAATTTTAAATTTAGAATGAATATATCTTCCTTTTCCTCCTTAACTCCTTGTCAATGTTTTTTATTATTATTATGTTCATGGGCTTGTATGTATTAATGTTCAGTTTAATACATTTCTTCAAGTGGCATTCCAAACAGTTTGATTTTTATTTTTTAGCTGGACTCACAGAAGTAATAATATACAGCTCTCCAGATGACAAAAGAAAAAACAGAGGCTTTTGTTTCTTGGAATATGAATCTCATAAAGCAGCTTCTTTAGCCAAAAGAAAACTGGGCACAGGTCGAATCAAAGTTTGGGGCTGTGATATCATTGTTGATTGGGCCGATCCCCAAGAAGAGCCAGATGAAGAAACAATGTCAAAGGTAAGGTAAATTAATTATAAGTTTCGGGAAATCTATTATTTTACAGAGCACTGAAAATTCTCAGGTTGATGAAGACTTTGTTTATTTAAAATCATTTTTAACTGATCAAGTGTGCAACATACACTGCCCTCCAAAAGTTAAGGAACAGTATATTTTCCTAAGCTCACCGTTAAAAAAATGTCGGTAACATTTAAATTAGCCGTTTTTATGCATGATAGTAATGAAGTTTAAAAAAATATGTGTAAAAACAATAGCTAGCATTTCTATTGAACAAGGATTAACCAATGTCTGGTCATTGCTTCCCGTTCCACTGACCATTAATGTAATTGACAGCTTATTATTACACTACCGCCAATTTAATGCAGGTAGGAATGGACACATTCCTTAATAGAACATATTTTCGTAATGTTACCACCATATTTTTCCTTGAAATACTGGAATGTACTGTTTCTGCAAGACTGGATTTCTCTGCCAAGGGTGCAATTTTTTGTTGTATTTCATGTTTGTGTTAAACATTAAAGACATTATATGTAGCATTCATTAAAAAACTGTTTAGGGAACATGTCCTCTCAATTTCTTATTTCTACATTGCTTCATTCTCAAATTATATGCAAAAAATATACTGTTTCTTCACTGTTGGAGGGCAGTATATGTTCTGAATATTTGTTCTGATACTTGTAATCAACCCTCCGAGTGACATGACTGGATTTTAGATTGTCACGAAGAGACCTATGTCATAAGCATGTGATTATGAACACTTCTAAGCAATTGTGGTGAGATTATCAAAAGTGGCATGACCATCTTTAGCCCATTCAGGACCAACATCACGAAGGTATGACTCAACAATTCCACTCTTATCAGCCCAGTGTCGTTTCTAGACGAAGAGCTCAGCTCGATCTCTCCATCTCAGCGCCGTGCTCACGTAACTTCAAAATGGAGGTTTTTTTTTAGATCAATTTTTAAATGCCAGTAGATAATGCTAAATTGTAATGGTTTTCACATCGGTTAAATCGGTTTTTTTATCTTCGTATATGAGCATCAGTTTCTGTTCTGTGTTTCTGGTTTTAATATATTTATTGGTGTAAACACAATGGGAATCGCTGCTCTTTAAGTTAAAGGGACACCTGCATGTTTGTTTATTTCGTTAGAAATTTTGGGGTTTTTTGGAGGGGGTTGTCTTCATTTTTATTCTTTGCATTTTTAGTTATTAAAATGTGGGGATGTGCATCCAGCTTTTTTTTTTTTTTTTTCGCTAGGAGAATGTGGGAAAACGTGTCTAGCTGACTACAGTGGGTGTAACATCGGCAAGCTTCTGTGATGGAAAGGTTCAGACCCAGTTGTTCTTTTTTATATTTATTTTCAAACTTAACAGTATTATTACAGAAAGCGAAAGACATCAGCTTTCGCGATGCATGATGCATCTTACTTGCTTGTCATATGCTTGACAAAAAAAGCCATCATTGTCCTGTGTGTCAATCCTCGTTTTGAATTATTTCACACACAGCAGAGTTATTGAATTACTTACAGATAATTATTGCTTAATTTTCTTTTACATTTCATACTTCTAAATTTGTCTTCATGTGTGCACATATCATGCATAAAAACATATATTTTCAGCTGCTCTAAATGAGAATGTATTCATGAAGCATTCAAATTTTCAAGCTGAAAACCTTACCAAGGCTTAAAAAATAAAATGCATATATTCTCTTCTTTTCAACCTGTAATATGCTTAGATGCTGTATTCAAATTCCCAGTTTTTTATTTATAGATTGCATGCTAGTTCTTTTCAAAATGTACAGTTTTGGATTTCTTCTTCCCTATAATTATCTTTTTGCTGGTCATTATAATTGAATTTAGCAAACTACAAGAGGGTCCTAAGGGAATATCTTTGTGAAGTAATCTCTTATATGTGTTTTCTTGGATACACTCTGCTGCCACTTGGGGATTAAAATGAGTGAAATATTTGCAATCATTAAAGCAATGCGTTGGAAGCAAAATAATCCAGGTATTAAATGATATTGATATCACAGAATTATAATAAAAAAATATACTTCATTATTTTTTTCAGGGCAAGAACCCTTGCCTGTTGGAAATTAAGGATAATGAATTAAAATTATACCACATTCCATTCTTTCACCTAAACACATTGCCTTGAATAGTCAGATATCAGAATTTGGAAATGAAATTTTAATGTTTTAAAATTTGTAATTCTTTAAATTATTTTATTTACAGTAGGTTCAAATGGTATAAACTAAGATTACATTAATTATACCCATTCCATTCTTCACCTAAACACCATTGGCTTGAATAGTCAGATATCAGAATTTGGAAATAAAATTTTAATGTTTTAAAATTTGTAATTCTTTAAATTATTTTATTTTACAAGTATGGTTCAAATGGTATAAACTAAGATTACATTAATTATACCACATTCCATTCTTTCACCTAAACACCATTGGCTTGAATAGTCAGATATCAGAATTTGGAAATAAAATTTTAATGTTTTAAAATTTGTAATTCTTTAAATTATTTAATTTTACAAGTATGGTTCAAATGGTATAAACTAAGATTACGTTTTGATGAAGTAAGAATTTGTCAGAAGTGTGCTTGTCAAGTATTAAAATATGTCCATAATTTTTATTTTTAATGAACCTGTTGATTCTATATTTATAAAACTTATTTATAGACATCAAGAAATAAATTCATCAAAAAAATTTTAATTACCAAAAAATGACTAATCAAGGCCAACTGTAAAGGGACATCGTTGTTTGCGATTTGAACTTAATACCTTACACATTATCCATCTTTGGCTTATTATCTTTCTTCAAACAATGCAGTACTAGTTCCTTCTGATTTCTTTTGATTTACTGAGTTTAAATTTTCTTTACTCTAAAAAAGAAAATCACTAAATCCTAATTATTATTAATTAATATTAGTTTGCTAAATTAACTGCACGTATCTGTGACTATCTAAGCTGTGTTTTGCATTGATGAGACAGATCAGTGGATGATGTGTATGGTTCAAAGTAATAGCATCAAGTTCTATCTGACAGCTTGTGTTTTTATGCGCTAAATTGTATTTCGTGTGTTGAATTGTAGTTATGTATCTGCATCAAGCATGACTAATATTCATTTCTTAGGCCAGATCGTGATTGTTTTGGTGTAAATCGTTTTTAAATCTGTACATGGTTTTTGCTATCACAGAAACTTTAATCATGTCTCCCCATCTCTTCTCATATGATATGTCAGTGGTATAAGAGGACCAAATACTTGTGTGTGCCCAAGCAATAAAGCTGTAAATTGATGTCTTGAAAGTTCATAATCATGCAAGGTTTTGTAATTTTACATTACAGTATACATTTTACTTTCTAAGTTTTGAAGTTGGTAATCTGGGGTTAAATAAGTATCACACATTAGTTTTATTTAGTAAAAAAATATAATGTGCATTATATTTAATTGTTCTGTGATTATGTCAGAATGCTGTCTGGTTCCTGTCATCCCTCACCTATTAAATTTGCCAAAAAATTGTCTTTCTGTTTGCTTTGTCAATCAAGCTCTCCCCTCAATTTTTTTAGGTTAAAGTTTTATATGCACGAAACCTGACAGCAGATCTCACAGAAGAAAAACTTAAGGAAATGTTTGAAGCCTATGGAAAAGTGGATCGAGTGAAAAAAATAAAAGACTATGCCTTTATTCATTTTGCGGAAAGAGATGCTGCTGTTAAAGCTATGGATGAAGTCAATGGGAAGCAGTTCGGAGGTTCTACTGTTGAGGTGTCTTTAGCTAAGCCCCCCTCGGATAAGAAGAAAAAAGAAGAGGTTTTAAGAAATAGAGAAAGGAGAATGATGCAGACTTTAGGCCGGGGTGGAATGTATGTTTTTTATTATATATATTTTATTTATTTATTCTTATATGTTTCTAATTAACATATAAATTAACACATTTGCTGTCTTTTCAAAGATTTAATGTTGGGCTGAGTATCTAGGTTTAGCTATTTCAGTTGAAAATGTATTAGTCTAAGGGGAAAAAAATTAATCTTTACTATATTCAGAATATAATATTTTTAGCGTAACATTTTGTGAAAAGAAAGTTAAGAATTATGTCTAATAAACTTTTTTATCACTTATAAGAGAACGTTAATTTAAAATTATAATTATTCTTAAATTATGTCTATAGATTATTAAATGTATTTTATTTGAGTATGATTTTAGATATTCAGAAGTTTTTAATTTTGTAGGATGGTTGGAATGTTACCTACCCCTCCACGGGGTCGCGGTGGAAGAGTACCTCCAAATGCTCCTAGAAATTTTGGTAATCACAATATACGTCATAAAAATTTAAATGTATTATTTTTCTGAATTTGCAATAATGTCATTTATTTTTACATTTGTTACATCTTTTTTATAGATTATGATTATGACTATTATGGTTATGGAGAATATCCTGCCGGTGGTGGTGGAGGGTATGGCGAACCATATTATGATGATTTCTATGCTCCACCATTTGATGACTATGGATATGATTATGGTTATGCTACTCCACCTCGGCCATATGCATCACGTGTACCTCCACCTCCACCACCCCCAGAAAGAGTATGTTTACAATCTTCTTTTTTACTTTTAATTAAGTTGTCAAGAAATCATTTCAAGGTCTTGTCCTGTTGTGTTAAAACTACATTAGAATTATTTATTTCAAACATTTCTTTATACTTGGTTAAATGAGTGTTAAGTGACGTTTTTCCTTTTTCTTGATACAGGAATAATCACCAATTTAGTCTGTAAAATGGTGCTTAATTATATAATAGTTTGAAACAACGTTGAAAAATCTCCTTAAGTGTTGTGATTATATTATGCTGAGTTATGCAATATGCATAGTTGCAGGCTATCCCAATTTTACTAGAAATCTCTCGATTTTTAAATTAAGGGAAATGTTTCCCAGCAATAAATTAAATTTATTGAATTAAATGAAACTTTAATTGTGCAAATTCTATTCCCCACGTTGTGATTTACAGCAAAATATTTCTTATTAGATTTGATTATTATTAGATCTTGGATGTAGACATTTCTAGAACACCACTCCCCCTCCCCACTCAGAATTTTTTATGTATAAAAGTGTAAGAAAATTACAAAATAGCCAAAGAATGTAAAATATCTAAATAGTAATATATTTTACATAAGAATCACATTATTAATCTTAATAAAAATGAATTCCAAGTCAGTTTAAGCAATAAAATGGCACGCACAAATCCCTTGCAGAAGCTTTCGCTTTTTTCATATGTCAAGGCTGGTAGCTATAATTGCAGTAATGATGCAAGTGTTTTTTTTTTAAATTGCTAATATAATAATAAATAAGGATAGATTTATTATAAATAAATCAGTTTGAGAAATAAATTATGAACTGGATATATGTTTTAAATTTTTTTATCTGTATTTTAATTTTGATTAAAAAGTAAAATTCTGTCATGTTGAAAGCAGTACCTCTGAGAAATGTCGTGGAATGGCGATCTTAACCTCCCTATGTAAATGAGAACTTAGCAGCAAAAGTGAAGAGGTTAAGTCATAAATGTATTTTGCAATTTTTGTAAATTTGATGAGGTGTTTGTTACTGTTTAGTTGGGCAGCTGTTATTAATCTCACATACATTTAAAGATTTGTATGTTATTGCCATATATAAATTTTATTAAAAAATTTATTTAAAGTTTTTTCGAGTTAGTAGATTTGGAATTTTTTACTCTTGTTATTTATACTCCACCTAAAATCTTTTAATTTCCTTTATAAAGCAAATTAAGTGATTTTAAAAAGGCTATATCAAAATCAGTTCTATCACTGTTTTCTATATAACCTGATAAATTTTTAAAAACCAGTCTTTTTTTTTTTTTTTTTTACGTATCTTTTTCAATTGTGAGGTGAAATTTGAATCCTTTAATATATCTAATTGTAATTTTTTTAAACTGTGCAAGTTTTTTTCCTTAAAGGGAACTTTTATTTTTTGGATTTTTGCATTATTTGCAGAGTGTTTCTGTAATTTCATTATTGTTGAATTTCAGTAATAAATTAAGTACTCCTTTTTTTAGTTTTGATTATACTTTTATGTGATAATTGCTGAAATCACATGGGACATAATATTGTATGCATGTAAAATACATCCTGTGATTAGATTTTAAAAAGACAGATTTATTGGATGAAATTTTTATTATAACTTAAATTTGTGATAATTTCTATTTGAGTTGACATTCACATTATGTATTCTTAAAAGGTTCCACGAGGAGGAGGAAGAGTTGCCCGATCTGCTCCTCCACGAGCTTCATCTGCGCGTTCTAGGGGAACGACAAATCGTGGTCGTGGTGTCCGAGGAACAGCACGTGGAGCTGCAAAGCCTACGCCGCGTGGTGGTAAACTCAGGGGAAATATGGCTGGTAAGCGTAAGTTTGACAGTGGTCATCAGAACCAGGGGGCCTCCAAGCGCCGCTTCCAGAATAGCCGAGGGGCTATGGGCAACTCCTGGGGTAACCAGCCCATTCCCCAGCAACCACGTGGCGCCTCTGGGGGCGACGTCGAGTGGTACCAGGACTCCTTTGGCCAGCAGTGGGGATAATTATTTTTTGTCAGGACATCTGTGAATTGGTGAACACGTGTTCATCCGATAACTAGTTGTTTATTAACAAAACAGTTTGTGGGCAGAGTGGACTATGGCACACGTGGGAACAGTGCCCTCATAGTTTTAATCAAAGGGAGAAGTTAACTAAAAACAAATCCACATGCTGGCCTGGCCTGTTCCCACACCAGGCCCCCACTCTGCTGGCTTACTGTCACTTTTTACTGTCAGCTATTTAAAATCATACAAGTAGCCATTTTACATTTTTCATTCTGTATGTAACAATGTTATTGTGCATGGATATTTGTCGAAGAAAATTTTCTATGTGTAAAAGTTGTCATGAAATCATTTGGGTGTGCTTGCAATTGTAATGAAGCTGTTAACTTGAATTGTGCACAATTTTTTAGTTATAAATATTTGCTCATCGTCATGCAATTTTTAGATGTGAAATGGTCAGTATGTGTATATGCCACAATGTCATAATTTTCATTGAATTTTTAATGTTGAAACATTTTTCTCATTCCAGTTTTAACTACCCGAGACTCCTAAATTTCTTTGTTCTTACGTCCTTGTCTCACAGTAAAATATTCAGATAGAAATCAGTATTTTACTATACTCACAGTTTTTTAAATATTTTTTTGAGCCAGAATAAGTTTATAGTTTTGTTTCCTCTTAATTTTTATTAGCTTATAAACTGCACTTAAAACTCTTACTGTGCGTGGAGTTGCAAGATGGATACTTTGAGCAGTCAGATTAATGCATAGATATTTATTAATAACTGAAGGTTGTTTATATTAACTGGTAACCCTGTACATAAGGATCACATGGGATACATAAGGATGATCAGTATTTAAAATTTTTTGTTATTCAGTATTTCAGAAATGTATGTCTTCTAAATCAGGTTTCCCCCGTTGCTGTTTTCTGTTGTGTTTCTTCATGATAATAATTTAACCAGCTATTGAAAATGTAAAAATCATCTGTTATAATGTCTTCTGTGCAGTTATTTTTTAAGTGCTGGAGAAATCTTATGTAAAAGCATCATTTTAAACCTGAATATATTTTTTTATTCTGACATACTATCAATAGCAATCATTTTATTTTATTGTGAATGCATTAAAATTTTATAATCTTCAGTATATATATATATACTAGCAAGCTTGATGTTAAAGAGGCCTTTTTTAAAAATAATTGTCATTTAGAAAAATTGGTTATGTAGTTCATAAAAAATGGAAGAAAGTTTATTCTTTGATTTTACTCTTTGTGATATTTATAAATTTTTAGTTTAATGAAAATAAGTGACACTGATAATTTTTAATCACGTATATATATTTTAAAAGTTTAACTTTAATGTACTTGATTAGACATAAAAAAGTATTTTTTTAAGCAATTGTTAATTTGACTAACATTCGTTCATGAAAGAAATTGAGGCATGCTCATTCATTCTTTTCTTGTGATGTTTATGAATTTTAATTAAATTGCAAATAAAATTGTTAAACTTATTGCTGGTTTTCAAAATTATAAGTGTAAATTAAAAATTTGCTCTCTAGAGTCTTAATTTGTATGTAGTCCATTTTGAAACTTTATATTCTTTTTTTAAGAGTTTTTATAATAAGTTATTTTTAAATCATTAAATGTGACTTTAAAGAAAATTTTGTTTTGTCTAAGTTTTTTAAAAATAATAAATTTTAAATAAAAATTTAATGCAAGGATATTTTACTGAAAAATTCATTTAATATATAAAAATGCAAAAATTGGATATTTTTAGTGAATTAAGGATGTTTGGAATATATTAAAGAGAAAAAAGCATATTAGGTTGTTTTTTTTTTTTTTTTTTTTATTAAACACACCATTATAATAATTTATACTTTAAAAGCCTTAACACTTTATGTAATAAGTTTCCTAAAGTTGGTGCTCAAAATCCATGCGCAAAATTTAATTTAATCATTTTCTAATTGTGGTAAAACAGAGTTCTCTTGGAAGCTCAGCTGTTACATAGACATGCATTCCCCCTTCTTTCCTGTAGCCTCTGCCATCATTTAATTTCTTGTTGATTTTTTTTCCATGCCTGCTTATGATGATTCTTCTATATCAAGGAGAAAATGTTTACTGTCCTCCCATTTTATACCTATTTTTCTTTATGTTGATCCATTCTGTTCCTTGCAAGTGTGTTTTATTTCACATGCATGCATGTTTTTTCTGCACTTACTGTTTGTTTGTGACATTGCTTCTTCGGTGTTCTCCTGGTTATATTTATTCTTTCAGTTCTCTACCATCTTCTTAAAATGAAGTGTAATTTATTCTTTCCATAAGTGAAAGGCAATGACACACAGGATGGTGCAGAAGATCATGCTGCATCTTTTACTCTAATAATCTAATTATTCTTTCTTTTTTATCATGTATAGTGGATATGTACAACCATATAATGTGACAGATGAGCTAGAAGTGAAACTGCTGGAAGACTGAAATGATCTGTAGTTTTTTACTGTATGACCTTCTGGCAGAACAGCTGAAGTATTTTACTCTTGTCCATAGAAAAAATTGCTGTGATGAAGCTGCCTGCCAGTGACTTTGAATAATAAATGTTCGTTTTTAAGTAGCATGGCATATTTATTAGAGTACTTATACAAATTTTAAAAAATGTAAAGTATGTTGAGTAAAAAAATGAATTCTGATAAATCAGAGCATTTACATTTGCATTCATGATAGCTGAAAGATTTATGTCCTACAATCCTCCTTCCCCCTTTTAAATTTCTAGTGTGTCTTCGTTCATAATTTTGTATGAATGAATTTTATTTACCATTTATTTTTATCAGCTAAAGAAAGTTTCATAAGCAAACATGTAAAGTCAAACCCATTCTTATATTCCTGCATTTTATTATGATTATTGGGAAGTTCCAAAGTTTTTACCATTAAAATTTTGTAATTTTTGCTAGTTGTGCTTTTAAATTTTCTGCTTTATGCAATTTTTCATTCTAGTATTAAAAATTGAAAAAGATCAAAAATTGTCCTTAGTTTTTTTTTTTTTTTTTATAAATAATGGCACACAAAAAATACAAAATGTTGATACTAAGTCCCATAATACAAAGTGAGAAAAAATAAACCTCTTTGAAGACAGAAGTGAAAGAAAAAAATCCAACATTTCTGCACTAAATTAGAGATATGTCTTTTGGAATTATTTGCAAGAATCAAAGTGTTTTCCAAGAAAGGAGAGGTGGCAATAAGTCCCTTATTGGGAAAGAACTAATTCGCTATATTTGGTATATTGACACTTAATTTTATACCAATGAAAAAGAAAATAGTTTCACCTATGTAAAAGATTCTATACTTGCAGTGCAAAGATCAGACCAATCAGCAGTAGCATCTCCTAAGAAATCTGGATAATGCATTGGTGGTTTTAACATGTGATGTTGAATTTCTGTATGGTCCCCAGTTTGGGTTCAATATGATAACAAAACCCCACCAAATGATCTCCGAATTTGCACTGGCTGTACAAGACCTGGACACTAGATCGAGTTAATTGATATTTAAGTCAAGATAAATTGCTTTTTAAATCAGAACATCCCTTGTGAATAAACAGCTTGTAAAAACTGTGATCTTAAATGTGTTAGGATGTAAAACTCTCCATCTTACTTCATTTGATAAATACCCATGCTCCAGTCCTCTGAATTCTTTTCTTATGTGGAAAACATTTATCATTTCTTGCCAAATAACTTTTTATCACTTTTCATCATTTAGTTGAGATGGTGCTAATATCCTTTCTGCTACTTTTATTTTCTTTTGTTATTCTTGTGTAAAAGCATTGCGAATACTGTGTATTGACAAATGGTCTACCCTTGTGTAAAAAATAGATTTTTCTTTGAAAGTTGTTAGAACTTGTTCATCTGTATAGATGTAGCTTCTGTCTAATACTGAAATAGCTTTGTCTTCTCCTTAAGCATAGAGTTTTAGCAAAACATTTTATGTGGTTTCAAGTAAAATCATCCTTTCTTATATGATTTAAGTTAACATGTACTAGTATGAACTCTCCCATTAAAGCTTTAACAGAATAAACAACTCCTTTTATTACATCTTGGGATAACTCAAAAAGAGTTGACAAATTTGATCAGAGTCCAGTTTGAAATTTTGCTTAAAAGACTTGATGTAGTTTGATTAATTCTGTTCATTGAACTTCTTAACTGGCATTTCATGATTTTCAACAGATAATTAAAATGTTCCATGCAAGTTCCAGTAATCATTGTTTTTATGCATTTTTAGGGATACTGAAGTATAATAATTTTGTGTCAGGAATTATGCATAGCCCATGAAGTAGTTCTGATATTTCAGTATTGCTGAAATGCTTTTTTCTGTTACCTTTGATAAAATTTCAGTGTCTTTGGAAAATCATCTAGATGATTTTGACAGGTATAATAAGGTTGTTTTTACTTTTGCATGCAGTACATTGCTTATGAATTTCAGCAGTATGACCAACAGGAATCACAGTATGCAGATGTAATAGTAGCTTTTATTTCTCCTGAGGCATCATCTTGTGGAAAGTATCGCTGGTATGACTGCATGGTCCTGTTTTTTCGAAAACATTATCATAACTTCTCAGTTTGATAGAAATCCCAAGTATTGCATTTTTATGTTTATAGCCTTTTAAATAATGCTATACAATGAATAATAAATACCATAAACTCTGCTGTTTAATATCAAATTGGAATTTTTAAGTTTTAAACTTTCTAATATTTCTATATTTTGCAAGTATTTCAAATCATCTGAAGTTTTCTGAACATCACAGCAATCACAAGTATAATATTTATACATTTTACAAAACAAAATGCAGTTGCTGTGATGAGCAAATAACCATTGGTAACCAAGCAAATACAAAGAAAATAAAATGTATCTCAAATTACCTACAATTATCTACAAGTTCCTAATATATGATTGTAACTCAGTTTCGTTTACGTCTCCCCTTCCCCACCATGAGCACAAATGGATTCTTATATATGTCAAAGATTTTATATCCCACCACATATTTAAAAATCTTTGCAGTGGTGTAAAACAATCCAAGCTACTAATCAACTTCCTTTCTCATCAAAAGATACTCATAACCCCAAAATAACTAAATAAAAAAAACTCCAAAATAAAATTTTGTCACTGATTTAAATTACCTACCTACCTCCACAATGTGTAAGTGATCGCACAGAATTCAGAAATGACACCTATTTGAACCCATATTTTATGAGCTTGAATTTCAATTTCAGCACATTCCATTAAGATATTCAAGTTTCTCATCCTCAGATTCATTGAGAATGACAGCTGTATGTTCCACATATTCAGTTAAACATACATATATATTGTTTTGAAAAATATTTAACATTTAATTGCAAATACCTTTTAATTTTGAATTTATTCTAAAATTATAATAATACAGAAATCCAAAATGTCATACCGTGAAAAATAGTTAATTTACTGTGATGAAATTTTTTCCAGTGGCTTAACATAAAATTGTCAAGGACTTTATTTCTGTAATGCTGTGGACATATGGCAATGCTCTCTCATATGATTCCTTAATAATGTGTTAATTCCTATACGTTCTTCATGTCAAAAACATGTAGACACTGAGTATGATGCTTTCCTACGCAAGTATTCTGCTTTAACCCAAGTGCTTAGAAAAGATTGTGTACTCGATCAACTATTTAACAGACAAGAAGTAGAATTTATGAATATAAGTCTCCTGGATTCTAAACACACACAGGCGATGCAATGTCTAACAATAGTTGAGTGTAAAGTCGCTGAAGCCTGGTAGTTCGGTCTCTAGCCACTTTACACTCAACCAAGGGGTTTTTTAATTTCTTACGAAAGGGCTGGCTTTACCATGATTAAATAAACCAATGGTTTTCAAAAATTTATGACAGGGAAACGGTTAAGGTTAAAAAAACGATTCTTGCAACAAATTCATGTGAGAGGGAATAAATTTTTCCTCCTAGACTTACTGGTTTTAGTTCAGAAATTTTGTAACAGATGTCCTTGGAAATAATAAACACATAAATAATAATAATAAAAATAATGAATGAAAATTACATAGCATTTTCAAAATGGCCACTATAAGCTGCAGTGACATGACGAAATTAGCAGACCAGGCTGCACATTCATCACAATTCTTCAATTTTATCAAGTGTTAGGGGATTTTTTCTGGACACTGCATTCTCGTACTCAATAGCATAGAGGTTGGAGGAACTGATTCGAGAAATTGCACAATAGCAGCAGCAATAGTAGTTTGGTCTACTAAAAATAAATATTGCAAATGATGGCGATGTTAAAGTTCTGAGACAGCAAACCAAAGAATTTTCTGTAACTGGTGTTGGAATGCTGATAAAATTGATGGGACAAGTGTGTAAATAGTTTTCAAATGAATATCTCATTAGGTCATTTTGTTTTGTGACTAATTTATTTATTGACTTCCTTTTGTACATTTATCGTTTTCCAAATTGCATATAGCATCAACTTTTAAAATATTGTCATAAATTTGAATTATTTTTAAATATGGACACAGGTATCATTCTGCATAATTAATTGCAATAAACATGTAAATGTTTTTGGTTTGCATGGAAAGTTTTTGCTGCTGAAACATTTCTTAATTATTAGTTAATGATTTTTGAATTTCTTAGTTTGCTTTCTAAAATGTAACATTTTAAACAAAAAGACTTCCTAAACTGAGTATGTTAATTATATGATTTTATTTGCTATAGGATCCAAATACTGTCAAATTGATCCCCCCCTCCCCCATTATGGAACACAAATCTAGCTCTAGAAAATGTTCGAAGTGTCAGAGTGCTAAAATTTTGGCAACTTTCATTGTTTCATTCATTTTATTATCATTTTCATTCTGTGATAATGGTTACTGTTTCTTAAAATTCAGTTGATACTTCCAAGAAAATTATACCAGTGGCTTCGAAAGTTTGAAATGTTCTTAATAAGATATTCATTGTTGAGATATGTGGGAATGTATTCTGGTTTAGTTGTAGCTTTTAAGTTGCTTTTGCATTTTATTTTACTAATAGCATTTTAGATATTAATTTATCAATTATATAAAAGAATATGAGTAAGGGGTTTTGAGGTTGTTCCAGTAAATATGAGGGCTATTCACAAAGTAACTTGAGTTTTGCTGTTGCGCAAACAGGGGATAGTGGTAGTATCAGCATCTTAGTGGTGGAGTGTCTACTGAATCTTTATGCATCCGGTTGTAATCGCTGATAGGCATGTATTGCCTCTTTGTTCACTGTAACGGTTTAAAATATGTGCAGCAATAGAAAATCCCGCCAGTTGTGAAGTGGTGATTACATTTTTGTTCGCAAAAAAATCCGAGACCAATTGAAATTTATCAAGAACTTTGTACGGTGTATGGAAACGATGTGATAAGTGAGACAATGGTGCATCATGTTTAAATATGATGGCATAAATTTTCTTGAGGAAGCGCAAAGTGGCCGTCTAAACATTGTTAGTGCTGAACTTGTGGAGAAAATCGATGAAAAGATTCACAATTTTGGAGCTCTCGGTAGTTTCTTCAAATTTCAGGAACTTTATTGTTTGGTGGTGTGATGCACGATCTAGGCTGTCACAAGTTTTATGCCAGGTGGGTACCACGAACAGTGAATCACTTCTCGATTCTGTCGTGACAGGAGACGAGGCTTGGATGATGACGAGGAACTGCATGCAGGTATCCGTGCATGGTTGAAGTCTCAGGCGGCAACATTCTGTGACGATGAAATTAACAAGCTCGTGTACCATTATCAGACTTGCCAACTCTCCCGATTTAGGCGGGAGACTCCCGATTTTCGACCGCTCTCCCGCCAACCCGATTTACAATATATTTCTCCCGACTTTTTCTTATTCTTAAAATTTCTCACGATTTTTATGGAACTTGGCTTAATACTTTGTTATATGAACAAAAAAAGTGATTTTGGACGTCCGAAGCAAATGAATTTTCTCTAGATTATATCTAAAACAAAACCTTGCGAATTAGATAACTTCTGCTTTGTGAGTGAGAGCATATATGTATCCAGAAACGTGCTTCTCCAGTTCTCCAATGGGCATCGTGCTCCACTGCATGTCATCTGACATATATTAGCCAATGAGGACAAAACAAGCTGTTATTTGGATGTTCTTTAGTTATTTCGGTCATTTTGTCCTGAGTTGTGTGAGTACACGTGCCTTTGGGAAATAGTTTTAGAAATTATCATCTTTTGTTATGTCTGCGAGAAAGGTGAAATACTCGTTTATGTTTCAAAAATCGTACACAGTTGACTTTCCTTCCATTATTTCCTCAAGGAAATGTAATAAATTTGCAATGTGTACCGCCTGTCGTTGCGATTTTTCGATTTCGCATGGTGGAAGGGCGGATGGTCTCAAACATGTGCGTACACAAAAACACAAGGGCAACATGAGCTGTTTTGGGAAAAAAAAACGAAAAGTTATTAATGCAGAATGTCTGTTCTCTGCCTTTTTACTGGAGCACAACCTGCCACTGAATGCATCGGATCATGCTGCAGCTTTATTTAGAAAAATGTTTCCTGATAGTGAAATCGCTAAGAAATACTTAAGTGCAAGAACCAAAAGAGGTGCAATTGTTAAAGAAATGGATTTGAAAAATAAATCTTCAGTTATTGATCGCATTAAAACAGCTCCGTTCTGCCTCTCTACGGATGGAAGCAATAATACCGATTCAAAACTGTATCCAATTGTTGTTTCTTTTTTTAATCCAGAGTCTTGAGAAATTGAGTGCAGTTTACTTTCTGTCCCCATTTTGGAAGGACATTTGACAGGCTTTAATATAGCACAGCTAATTATTAAAACTTTAAAAGAAAATGCAGTCCCTCTGGATAATTGCTTAGCAGTAGGTGCCGATAATGCACCAGTATTGGTAGGCTTGAAGACTGGTGTTGCAGGCATCTTCAGAAAGAAAAATTCAGATTTGCAGATTATGAGGTGCACCTGTCACCTCTTAAATTTAGCAGCTGAAAAAGGAGTAGCTTCTTTACCAATGAATGTGGATGAACACATTGTTGATATTTATTATAATCTTGAAAGGAGGAAAAATTGAAACAGGTCCAACAGCTGCATAATAGCAGTTTACAATTAGAAAACTTGGATGAAGTTATAAAATCAGCTAGGATTGACACCCAGTGGAGTTTAATTGGAAAACTGAAAGATGCTGATGGAATTTTAAAATATAAAGAACTGTCTAGAATTATGTTGGCCATCTTGACAGTTCCCCATAGTAATGCAGAGTGTGAGAGGATTTTCAGTGTTGTTGCGAAAACGAGGACTAAATTTAGATCTAATATTAGTGATGACACATTAGAAAACTTTTATTAGTGAAAGCAGGCCTACGTGGCAATTGCTATGAACAAAATTATGAAGTTTCTTTCTTAAAGAAAGCAAAATCCGCCACTGTTTATACCATTTGTACAAAAACTGATTAAAGGTTTTTTTTCTTGTTTTGTTTTGTTTTCTTAAACAATGCAAGTAATAAAAATGTTTTTTTATGTGTAAGGTATTTTTGCATTGCTTGCATAAGAATTAGTTACTATTTAATGTTAATTCATTATTAAAAACTATATTTTCCTTATTTAAAAAGTTTTTTGTCATAGGTTGGCAAGTATGCATTATAAGTGTCTTAAATTATATGGAGATTATGTAAAAAAAATAGCTGAATAACGTGCCTTTTAAACATAAGTAATAAAAAATGTTAATTTTTTTTTAATTTATTTATTTATTCTAAAACTTCAGTTTTTTTTTTCTGAATAGCATACATATGTTAGTAGTGATGTTTGGTGAATGGAGTGCAAAAATATGTTCAAAATTGTATTAGATAAATTATGTCTGATTAAATAATAGCTATTAAACACAAGCTGTATGATAATTGGGGAAAGAGGTTATAGGGGCTGATTGATGAAAACGATAGACTTTCAGATGAAATGGTGGTGCTGTAAAAAAGTAACGTAATGTATTTTTTAAAATATAAAAAATTACCAAATTAACGGTTTTTACTAATTATTATTTCAAATGAGTTTAAGGGTAGCTTCCCTCTTTCCAAAATTAAAAATAACTGAATTGTTTGGTAAATTTTATTCAAGTTGTGCATTTCAGTTACTTGTTCAGAGTCTTTGGGCCATTACAATCTGCCCTCTATCAAATTCGCTTAGATCAGCAGCCCTTCCCATCACTCTCAAAAGTAAGTGCAAAGATTCATTTCTTTCTTCAGCTGCAGTTCAGTACAATTCCTACTTAATCACATACCCTCCACATCATCCAGATGAGTTCATTGAAAAATGTGAGGATGGTCATAATATTTTTTTCTTGTCAGTGTATGTGTATCCAGCATACTATTCATTATCTTGTTTGTACAATGAATTAGGTTGCTGTATTTTCAATGAAAATCGTGTTTTAATTCATTGAAGGGAAAAGTTTCTTACAGAGAAGAACTAGTGACAAATATATATTAAATAGAAATCTTATATCTAGGTAAAAGAAGTCATTCTTCATTTGAATTTTAAGCTCTGTCATAGTCAGCAGTGTAGATTAGGACTTAATAATATAGATATGCCGTGTATGAATTTCATATGAAGTGAGTAAAACTATTAAAAGCCATTGTAAGGTTAATAAAAAAAATTCTACAGTCATATTAAAAGCCATTGTCAGGTTAATAAAAAATTCTATAATCGTATTAAAAGCCTATGTCAGGTTAATAAAAAGATAGTCATATTAAAACCAATTTTCTCTGTGTGTGGGGGGGGGATGTTGGTATGTCATAAGTTAATTCTTTGATCTCACACATACTGTCATACTAATGCATATCATTAGCATCATCCATTATTATTTAAACTGGAACATTAAATTTAAGCAAAGTGAAAGATGTCTGTCTGCTTACAATTCTAAAGTTCGACTAAATGGTTTATCCTTCCTGTAATTTGTACCTGCTTATGTTAAATTCTTTCCGAATTCACACAGAATTCAGTCGCAGCTCTGTAATTATATAGAATTGTTCCTTATTTTCATTAAACATCCACTCACAATAAGATATTGTAGGCTCTGGCTTATTCTGTTTAAGGATCAGAGTATTTGATAAGTAATTTTTTATGTAGTTTCTGTATATCAGATTTGACAGAACACAGAAGATGCTAAATAATTTAATATCAAATTAATAAGAATGCAACTTTCTTTAAATGATAGGAAAGTTTGTAAAAATGGATTCTGAAATGAAAATCTTCATCGATTCATTCAGAACTTCATCGATTTTCAAAGATTTGTGGTCTTATCAAACTGCTTGTAGATTTAGCAACAAACATAATGTTTGGGTCTTTTATAGGTAAAGTTACTGAATTTAATTTAAAGAGTAGATTTTTAGTACTGAAAAAAGAGTAAACCTTTTCAAATTCAGTCATGCATGTAACAAAGTGTAAAAAGGAAAAATAGCAAAAATGAGATTTTTCATTTATTAAAAGGTAATTTTTTAATAATTAAAATACATCCTACTGAAATAAATAAACACAAATATTAAGGCACACTTGCATGTATGTCTTAAAGTACAAAAGTAGAAAATAAAAGGTATAACACATGAGCAGAGCGACTTTGTTGCTTCGTACGTACTAATATAACATTTCAAATATGCACTTAAAAAAAAAAAAAAAATTGTATATTATAAGTAAATACAAAATTGTTAGTTTACAATTATTTTTTTTAAATAGAATAATAGTATTTGATAAGAAGCACAGCTCAAAACTCTATGATTTTTTTAACCTTGTAAAGAAGTTAATCATTTTTACTTGAAAAGAAATGCGCGAAAAGAATTTGATTTCATTCTTATTTTATGAAGTACCATAAATTGAAAAATATAGAAATATCTAAAAATGAGTTTTCTCTAAAACATGTTAATAAAAAGACAATGTAAATTAAAAATTTGTAAATATTTTTTAAGAATTTCTTTGTGATTGAAATTTTATTTTTCCCAATATTTACATTTTCAAAAGCAGTAAAAAGATTTAAAAAATATAATGATATTCTGTAGATAGTAAGCTGTTGAACTTATGAGAAACAGAAGAATTCTGAATGGAAGAAATGTATGCAGAATAACTTAAGTAAAATGAACTGCATGTAGAATACTATTGCTTAATAAATCATAGATGATTTTGCAAAAGAAAAAAAGTAACTTAGTAATGAAAGGTATTTGTGCCACTATTCTGTTAAATCTGTTATTTAAAAAACATTTGCGACCTTGATGTTAAATATTAATATTCGTTAAGATGCCATCATATTACCAAATCGCTCTCTTAAACTGTTCTGCTATTCAAGCCTGTGAACTTTTGTGCAAAAAAATTAATTTTTGGCACTTGTTATACTGTAGGAACAGGAAATATATGCCGTATATTTGTGTATATCTAAAACTTAAGGAATAAAATCAATTGATTTCAAATAAGTAATATGTAATCTGAACCAGATTTGCTTTTAAAATTTTATGTGAAAACACTTTTACTGCCATTTTTTTTAATCGATCTGTTTATGTGTCATACTCTAAGTGACTTGTGTGCTTTGTGCACAGTGTGTAATTTTTTTTCTCCCGAAGGTTGACATGCTGTTTTAATGGAGAATTTTCATCAACTCCCAATTATGAATCCATATTCTTAATATTTCAATATAGTTGCTATATAAACATACTATACAGAAAATTTGGCAATATACATATATAGAAAGAGTATGATGGATGGCATTTGCAGCAACCTTCTAAATACATTTATCACTTTAATTCAAGGCAGTATCAGCTCAATATATGCACTTTTTCATATCTTCTTGGAACTAAGCAACAAGAAGAGTCATTTCTTGTTCTAAATTGTTCAATGTTATCAGACATAATGTTATACTAGTTGAGAATTTTGTGATGGCGGTCGTATTGTAAATATTTGGGATGCCTCGTGAAGGTGAGAACGTTCATTCGTTGTTAAGTCGTCATCATCATCTAATTTGCTTCTGTTCAGTATATCCTTCTCTGGTATTCGTAATAGGACATCTGTAAAAGAGCAATTTTTATTTAACAATTAATATTTTTACACTGAGATGGCGTTATTTTTAAAATCTAACTTTCAGTATTAATATATCATGCCAAAATTCTGACAGTTGGTACCAGCAACTGGATTGATTATGAAGTGTTACTACATGTGCTAAACTAAGGTCAAAGTTGCAAGTTTTCTTGATAATGTACGAAGTGACGAAGCCTAGGTCTACATATATCTGTCGTGGATTTACATAACATGCATAATGCAATAAAGTGTAAACCAATGTTAAATAAAAGTTCTGACATTACACCCAAGGGGCTTTTTTAACTTTTGTGTTACCTTTATTTATTAAATATGCTCTTCACACTTAAAACACAAAATTCAATTCAACAGCAGTATCTTAAAATTAACATATCTTTAGAATTTCTGATACACAGTCTCATGAACTGAAGATAAAAATGTTTTTTTCTCATACAGCGCTGCCATCACACACTTTGAAATTGTCGAATTTCTTAATCAAATAAATGCTTTACAAATTATGAAATCTGTAATAAAAGAAATCTCAAATTACAAATTAAATCTTCCAGATGCCCGTATTCGGTTATTTAAAATTTGATGGATCTAGGTATCGCAATGCGAGAAGCATACATACATTCATGTAGGTTCTTCATTACTTACTTTCTTTAAATATGATACAAAGCGGTAATATTTGGTGGCAGCAATTTGAAAAGTGATCTGTCATTTATAGATTTCAACGCAAAATGCTAAAATAAAATTAATAGCCCTTCTGGGCAAAATACGCCTTTGGACTAATAATCATAAACTGGATTGTAAACTGATTTGCACATTTACCATATACTCGCTGTCCTTCGACCCTATATATGAAAATAAAGGATTCAGACGTTTTAGCCTAATTCTGACAATACAGTTGAAGGGAAATATAGTAAATGTATTGTGTGCATAATTGGGGTCTGTGAGAACAGTACTGGGCATGTGGATTACTGTATGTCATGCGTGTTATGAACGTTTTGGTACTCTGCATATTTTGAACCTCATGAATCATTTATTTCCACAATTAGATTTGGAAACACTTGCCACACCTCTAATTTCCTAGAATTCTGGGTACTTCTACATTAAAGTGGCCAGTGTGCTTAATCGCTAAAATTGGCGAATTTAATCACCCAGTTTGTAACATGAAAATTAAAAATATCACCTCATATTTTTATGCTATGGCCATTTTAAAAAGAAAGTACGAAATTCTATTGTCACAGCTATGTTGCACTGAATAATCTTATGTATTTTTGTTCTAATTGTCTGGATTATTTGCAACACTTCTCTCCCATTTTAATTATCAAAAACAGAATATTGTTGAAAGTGTATGATTAATCAAAGAAAAAACTTACCATCACATGTCAATAAGTTAGATGCAGTGTCTTTTTCCTTTTCACCGTTATCATCTTCAAGGGAAATGGTAGGCGTCTGTAAAGTATGTATACATTATTGCAGCTTAATTAAAATACATTATGTCCACATATTTAGCCGAGTTTTATTTTGATACATGTTAACTAAAAATGCCACGTCAGTGTAACAGCAATCCTTTTTCCATTATACACGTTGCAGCAGAACTGATAGTCAAGTCTGTAAGATGTGAATATGGAAACACAGTAAGCACAGGGAACGGGAAGTTACTTTAATCGCAGATAAAAACCACCAACTACAATACATGCATCACAAGGATAATGAAGCGATTATTGAGCACATAGCAATGCTAACATTCAAGAAAGTCAGTCTGCATCACATAAACGAGATCCAGTATTGCAGTTGCTGTTTATTTCAATACAAATGCTGTATACAATATTTCTAAATATTGAATAATATTTTGTGTACTGACTGTTTCTGCATTCATATTCCACCACAAACTGTATTATGAATATTGTTACTATTACCATAGCTTATCACCCCTTAATGTTGTAACCATCAGTTCTGTTACACGCTGAATGTGATCTAGACGAGCATTTCCTAGACTTCCACAATCACCAAAGAAGAGAATAATTATAAAGCAGGTCGATTAATTTAACTACTGATTTCATCTTAAAACAAAAATTTAAAGAACAACTGTTAATTGAATTTTGGTCAAGTTTGTCAGAAGAATATCCCAATTTAGCAAAATTTTTCCTATTTTACTTCCTTCTTTAACACAGCTCACTAGTGGCCGAGTGGTAAAATCATTAAACACTCGTAACTCCGACCTGATTTAGATTTCAGGCAATTGGGTTAGCTGCATTGATGTTTTCGTGGTTTCCCCATGTGTAATGGGTGTCTTACCTTAGAAAGTCCTTCATGAAGGCATCAGTTCCTTTACCCCTACTTTGCTTGCTATAATCTATCAAGCCGGATACTTCTTGAACAACTTACTTGAGCAAGGCAAGTCTTTCATATTAAGCTGCAACAAAATCCAAACACATAAACTGGCTTAATGTTGCTTCTGATGTTAGAACATTGTACCTACCATTAGAAGAATTTGTAATGAGAAGATGCAGTCATTGAAAATGAAATATTTTTTCCGTTATTTGTTTCATTTATTTAGTTTCATATTTTTTTAATAAAGTATTTCTGCTGTAAGTATGGAATAAATGTTTATTTTGTTTATCTAATATACTTGTGTTGTCAGTTATTATAACTTAAAACAGTTCAATCTAGTGTTGCTTTATAACATAAAAGGTGTTTCTTGATTAGGAAAAGCTTGGAAGACATGGATGGATCTAGACTAACTGCTTTATATTCTTAACACGGGATGATGTTACCATCCAATAACTAAAGAATTGTGATGCAAAGCAAGTTCTGTGAATAATATTTATTGCTAGGCTTATATTTTCCTGCATCATCATTAAAATATGTAACGTACAGAAAAACCTAACGCCAAATAACAGTTTAAAAAAATGTGATTGAAATGAAACTTTCTAGGAGAAAAGCAATTTGGCCAATGTGCAGGAAGATAAAAATGTGCACAAAACTGGAAGTTACTTTTCTGTCCCACTGAGCAAAAATACACTGAGGTTGGTCCACCAACCGACCTAATTCACTGTTCTTCCAACTGGAGGCCTCATTAGACCTAGCGCCACTTGAACTTTTAAATTGTGGAAAATTCTGCACGCATATTAACTAAGGCATAAAAACCTTAACCAGCAGTTGATTGTAATGAAAAAAGGAAGTGCCCAACTAGATATTATAGTAGTCCTATATGTAAAATTTCTACATTTTATGGCTACTCTTTTCCGAGTTATGCTAGATACATATTACAGACATCGCATAAAAAATTCCTTCTGAATGTATTTTTAGGGGGAAAAGAATCCTTTATTCTACTCGTATGTACAGATGTCAAAAAAAAAATTCTAATGGAGAACTTTCTGAATGGATATTTTCGTTGAAATATGGTACAGGAAATGTTTCATAATTACTTTACTTCATACAAGGAAAAAGAAAAAAAAATAGAGCTCACTGAACCAGGTGAGGCAGAGTGTGTGCGTGGTGGATATAAATATCTATACCCACTATGTTGAAAGTTGAAACGTTGTAGCAAAGCATTGAAATTTTGTATAAGGGACTGCTATAACATCTAGTTGTGCACCTCCCTTTTTCGTTGCAATTGGCCACACCATACATATATATATATGTTCAGTGTGGCTGACTGAAACAAAAATGGGAGGTGCACAGCTAAACATTATAGCAAATATATCTTTTTCCTGGAAAAATGTCTGGCTACAGTTTTGTTGCCTGCAGCTATTCTGTGTCAGTAGCCCATAAACAAATTTCAAAAGAACTAATTATACTTTCGCAGCGAAGAATATCTCAGACGTAATGCAGTATTTAATATCTATCTGTAAATACTATGAAATGAGTACTTACAGTGCGTATTCTGTGAATAAGGCATAACAGCAAAGCGCCAACAATGGGAGGTACACCAGCTGCCAGAAAAGCTACATTGTAATTTTTCATGTAGTCATATAAAAGACCTAGAAATTAAAAAAAATCTGATTTATAAACAGTTAGCAAAATATACGTAAGATAAAGCAAGTGCTGCATAAAAATCATATACAGTCAATTCGGACACCCATAATCCGGACCTCAGCTACAAACTTTCTGCGCATGCGTGTAAGAACTGTACGGCTGCGAATATGCGTGTGCGCATGCTCAAAATACGTTTACGCATGCGCGTTTAATGTAAAACGGACGGTATAGGCTAAGCTAAAATTATCTAATTCAGTTAATGTTGCAGATTGCGTTGTTCCTTAATCTTCGAATTGGATCCGGCTTATTAGTTTTTGCAGACTGTTAGAGCAATTTTATAAAAGTAAGCTTGAACTTTCGATTATGTCAAATAGAATTTCCGATATATATTTACTAATATGTAAAGGATCTACAAAGCGAAAGTATGTTTCGAAGTCCATTAAATAAAGAGTGGAATTGCTGCAAAAAAAAGGATAAAGGCATATCCTTTGTTTATCTAACCATTCCGAAATCTCTTTATCAATTTCACGCAGCTCTGCGGGGGGGAGGGGGAAACGCCGCGACGCGCAATGAATTGGAAGTTGATCTGTCAGCACTATCCTTATCCCTTATCTTCTGGGCAGATGTTTTTATTTGGCTTATAATTCCTTACTAAATGTAGTATTTCATCTCGATGTACTCCGTCTTTGATATGATTTAAATCAAATTCCTCGTCATTATAATTCGGTTCCGATAGCGAAGAAAGTAACACAGAGGTTATTGAAAACGAAAAAAATTTCAATTGACAAATTAGTCGGTATTCTGGACATAGCAATTATAGGGCTTGAACAGCGGAACTTTGTAACTGAACAAGAAATTATGTCTGTTTATAGAATTAAAGAGAAAGTATTATCACATAAAAAACGAAACAACTTACATTAAAAGAAATGTTTAATAAAGTAAACAAATAAATATTAAGTTTTTTTTTTTTTTTTTTGTAAATTTTGATACCCTTTAGATCATAATTGTTCTTTATTTCATAAATTACGGTTTCATACTTTTAATTTATAATTTCTGCATGCCATCCTACCAGATTTAAACTGATGATCTATAATCCGGAACCGACGAGTCCGGATTAACGACTTTTAACTGTATATATAATGCATGTCATTTTAAGATACAGTAATTTGAAAATTAATTCAGTGGTTATAGTTGTTCATTACGACCAACTTGTGTTGCAGTTGAAGACTAGGACTTGAATCTAGTATCTCTCTCTGTAAGGGAGATAATGTTAACACTTCGCTAATGAAGTTAATTGTTACTTTCTCATAATTTAAACTTAAGAGTTTGAATGGTTTTGCTTTGAACTTGACATAGTCTAACTTTTCGAAAAGCAAATTAATTATTCGTTCCTACTGGTCGTACTTAAATTTTTTTCTGCGACTATTTGTTTTCAATATTATTGTTACCAAATTTATATAGTTTGTGCATCAGCACTGTATTTGGACTCTCACTTGTCACTCAGAACATATAAGCATTATATATGGTGGGCTATAAGTGTTTGTAAATGGTAACCATGTTTGTTTTGACCCCTAAAATCTGTTCTGGAGAGAGGTTGTGGTCGGTTGATAAAGATAAAATGTTTTCTGGGAGTGACTACAGAATGCTTCACATGTGAACAGTGCCTTTTTTTTATGTAAAAGCTTTCTAAAAAGTTACAATTATTTTTTAGATATTCAACCTCTGTATCGGTTACACTACGAGTCATACAACACTATTCGTACACCCCAGTGTTCATTTCATTAAATCGTGGGGAAGGAAATTTGAAGAAACTAGTTCCACTATAAATGTGAAACAGGTAAGATGACCATACTATTCGGTAGGCAAAGGTAACATGTAAGCAGGATTTGATTTCCTGCTTTCCAGGGCAAACTGGGCATGTACACTGATCCTTCTCTTTCAAGGAAGTGTCCTGACCCTTCTATGGTATTTCAAATATGTAAACTTTAACATATATTTTCAATTCTAGAATATTTACTAGATTGAAAAAATTATGTGGCAGGAAGCTTCTGTATGAGTTTTGCTCAGGATCACTGGTTTTGTAAATTCAGCTTTATGTGCAAGACATTGCTCAAAGCTGCCAAAATATGAAGACTGACAAAAGGAACTGGACATAGCAAAGGGTGTCACATGATATACCATTGAAGAAATGTTTCCTGTAAACTGATTTCTCATAAACGTTGCATTCCATAGCCTCCAAGAAGTCCAAATCTTTCACTCGCAGATTTTTTTTAATGAGCGGGGTTGGTATTTTAGAAAATGTGTATACAGAAATAAACCAACAAGAGTAACTCAATTGAAATGAAATATTCAGGCAGAAATAGTAGCGAAATGTCTGCGCGCTGTGTGTCGGCGTCTCTTCATGTGCTTGGTTGTAAGAGCGTCCAATACATAAAGGTGGACATTTCGACAATATTATTTTAAAAAGTAAATTCTCGGATATTTAATATAATATTAAATAAATAATGATAAGATAACTTATCACATTGTTTCAAATCTGATTTCCAAAAGTGTGCTCCACCCCATACTACAAATGAATTTCTTTATTATTTTTTCCTTAAATATTGCTTATTTGACAAGAGGATATATTTTTGTATGAAAATGTCCTCAGGCAGTATTTGGTTTTCAGCAGTAATCTCTGTTTTCTTCAATATCTCATTCCAAAATGGGAAAGCAGAAAAGATTTGCATTACATCCAGATCTACAGGCTAACAGATGGTGTTATATCAGGAATGTGCTTCATTTATTTAACTTAATCAAATGGAAACTATGTACCAAATGTGGGAAGTATATAAAAAAAATAAAAATAAAAAAACCCCCAAAATGTGTAAAAAAACCAGTTCTTATCTGATACAACAAGGCAGGACTGGTTACGAAACAGAGCAGCTGGTTACCATGGCTTGAAAATTTTTGGAGCTTGCAACTTACCAGCGACAGGAGGTCCCACAGTCAGAGGAACAGAACAGAAACCTAGTAAGAAACCAATCGCCTGTGATGCCCCTTTTTGTCCCACAACGTCGAAAGCTATCGGCCCCAATAGTGATATGAAGCAACCGTCAAACAATCCTAGGAACAGGCAAACGATCACTAAGATGACGAAATGCCGAGCAACCACCAAGACCATGGTCAGAATCCCAATAGAGAGGAAAGCCACCTGCAACAGAAAAATTAAAGCATTATAATATTTTTTTGAACATACCCTGTAAGGTCTTTCTCCCTCCTTATCGTATGCCTTCGTGGTATAACTGGAAAATACGCCCACTTAGCAATCGGGAGGTATGGAGTTCAAATCCCGGTAAGGCCACTGAGGAGATTTATCATGTTTTCTGCCTTAAATTCCAGATGACTCTATAGTGCTTCCCAAATTAAATGTAGTTGACGATAACTTGTCACCACCAGTATTTGTGGTTAGGTCTCCTCTTTTCCAGTCACCCTTAAAGTGGAGAAAACTGTTTAGTTTTTCTCCCTCCTTTTATGCTCCTTCCTCGTGTAGCTGGAAAGTCCAAAGGGCTTACAATCAGGAGGTCGTAAGTTCGAATCCTGGGCAACGGCAGTGCATGTACTTTATCACGTTTTCACTCTAAAAAATTGTAGTTAACTGTATGATCATGACATGAAGGAAGGGGACATAAAAGCCTCAAGGTTACATTTTTTCAAAGAATTTATTATCAATGCACATTTGGTGTGCCAAGTGACTAGTTAAGGGTTACATTGTATCAGGCATATTAATTTCGATTTACATGTTACAAGATTTTTAATGATTGCATAAATACAGAGTTGTTAAGGAAAGAAGCTTCTCACTTTTTTTTTTTCAATTTTAATCGTAGATAAGTTCTTTCAGTTACAATTTCTCAAAAATAAGGTAAAGGATTTTATGAAAATAATTTAAACATTTTGAGTGGGAGTGTTTCCTGCAAATAAAATCTTATTTTTTTTAGTATTATATGTAGAGCAAAGGTTCCAGCTAGTGAAACATTCATTGTACTTTATTTAATTAAATACACGAAGCTTCATAGTCTTAAGTGCAACAGTTCCAAAATATGCATAAAAAACGTTTTTAATGGAGTGAACTACAAATTTTATTGTTATATCGTATCATTAACATAAATCGCCCGAAGGCTTTGTTTTATAGTTGTTAGTAATTTGGTTTAATTTTTTGTTTAAATTTCTCATTAGACACTAAAAGGTGATACAGCTTGTTAAATTCATTCTCGAATGCTTCTGCGATTTTTGCATATAAAAGTAAGGAAGATTTTGCTGTAATTTACTTAAAGCACAATGAATAATTTACTAACTGGAATTTTTTAATTATGGGGAAAATATAAGAGTTATATTTACAGAATCTTTCCATCTACAGATTTGAAATTATTTTCTTAACATTTTTGTAAATTTTGCATTTAGTAATGCATGTTTATGATTAATATAAAAAACTTGCTTATTTTTAATTTTGTTTGGGGGTGCACTTTCTTAATTCGATATTCCTCATTTAGAGAGAACTAGATAAACAATATGTAATGTATAACAAATAGCTAGAAATTCTGAAATAAGGATCTATGAAAGGCTCTAAGCTATAAGCGGTATCAGTCTTTCTTATTATGATTTATTGTTCCGATTGCTTCTGGACTTGGCAGAGAAATAAAATGCAAGAGTGAAAAATTAGATGAGTCTCTCTACTGGGACAAAGAAGTGAAAACATGTTGTGTAATTTTAATTTCTGTCATGTTTCTGATTGGTTTTTGAAAAGTGGTGAGACCTATTCTTCGACCAATATAAGATGATGCAATGTGTGGTTGCATCACAAGTAAGGTGACCACATGTCCCGAATTTTTACAACTTGTTTTTCGGTCCCGAATTTATAGCATTCGTCCCTAAAAACAGTAGTGCGAGATCGTAAGTGTTTAAATGCATATATTTATTTAAATAATGTAGATTGCAAAGTGAGAATACAAGCGTAAGTTAAGAGATGCATAAACAGGGGATTCCCCATCTAGCGTTTACTTTAGAAAATTGTAGTAAGGAAATTCTGTTTCTCATTGTTGTATTTCTCTCTCTAGCCTTCCAACATACACAGAATTTGTGCTCACAGTTGCAGTTCAGACTTTCATTTACAGACAACACTGCAATTCTTAATTGATATATTAATTTGGACTGATAATTTGAATTTATAATATACACATATCTTCTTTTAATTATCAACAGCGCATTAAATGCGTTAATACATATCATCCCCCACACATTATTGCACAGTAGCTAAAGACAATGATTTTGTCATTTGCTTAATTTCACTGTAGATATATCCATCTAAAATCTTCTTTCTTTTGTTTCTTCTTTATATCATTCAATTTTTACTTCATGGTCATTTTGATTTTGCATAAGGGTTAAAAAAAATTAAAAAAGTCTGTCGAAATGATGACGTATAATTTGGTTTTCCTCTTGGAAACGACATATATTTTTAATTATCAATGTTGCATTACATATGTTCTAAGGATACTGTTAAGGATTTGGTATTTAATTAGTTAATGTTAGTAGAATTATAAATAAAATTGTTTTATTCCCCGCGCAATGCAGCGCGTGATGAATATTAAAGGAAAGCTAAGCCGGAAAATTAAATACAAGAACGCGCATTTAATATTTAATAAATAAATATCTCTTTTTGATTTCGAGAAAATTCTCGCGCGCGATTTAAAATCTTATAAAAGGTGGAAAACCTCTCAATTCATTAAGGTTGTCAAAATTTTTTTGTGTCTATAAATAAGTCATTGATTTGCGAAACCGAAAAACAAAAATGTCCTTTTATAGGACACCACTCGATAGTTCTGATGAAGAGGACTACCGAAGCGAGCGTTCGTCCAAAACCAACAAGACCTATCCATTGAAGAAAGAGGATTTCATCCTTATGGCCAAAGAAAAGAAAAGTAAAGCGAAAAAGGCGAAAACTATGTCAGGTACGGAAAGCGAACAACCAAGTAAGAAGAAAGATGTTAAACCTGGTAAGGAAAAAAGAGACATTCAAACACCGAATGGAGAAGCTACTGATGAACAGACACCAGAAGATTTATCAATGGGAAATGATGAGGACATCCCAAAATTCAAGTCATGTTCTGAAGAAGAAATCCGAGACCATATTGCGAAATTTGGATTTGACGTAATTTGCAATTACTTTCATAAAAGAACTAAGGGTGAGATGGATGTAGAGACATTCACGAAAAAATTGTATCCAGGGCAGATAACTGAAAGAGGAACAGACAGCAGGGAACAAGAATGGATTTCTCCTAAGAAAACCGCGAAAGTATCAGAAAACGAAGCTCCAATGGAAGTTACGACGGAAAATCGATTTGAGCAGCTAAGTGAAGTAGAAGGTATGGAAGAAGAAGGAGGAGCTGCACCCCCCAATAGTTTTCCAGCAAAGCGAAGTCGATTGGCCTAAAATTCATGAAATCCTTATCAATACCTGCAGTGAAGAATTCGAAGCTGATATGAAAATGAAACTACTATATGTTAATTTAAAGTCAGTAGACGATTACAGAAAAGCAACTCTGGTTTTGCAGAAAAGAAATATACCATTTCATACTTTCCAGTTACTCAGCGAAAAACCTATTAAGGTTATTCTTAAGGGCCTCCCATCGACGATGAAGGAAGAAAACAATCCAGGCAGATCTGGAGAGAAGGAAATTCTCGATAAGTCAAGCAGTTTTCCAGACGAAGAGGAGATGCTATCGAGAAAACTTCCGATTTTCCTGTTGGAGCTGAAGAAAACGAAGGAAGGACGTGCAATTCATGGACTCAACAATATCTTAAGTGTTAATGTCAAGATCGAGAAGTCTGCCCCGAAAAAACGCGTAATTCAATGCTATAAATGTCAAGAATATGGACATTATTATGCTTCAGATTATTATGCTGTGTTATGCTTCAGACCAGGGATACTCCAGACTGTGTCCGGGGAGAAGATTGACACTGACGGGAAATTAAATGTTAACATCACGTTTGGAAGTGCCGCTTACCATCACATAGCATATGTAGCAGAGATCACTGATCCTTGCATACTCGGATTGGACTTTCTAAAGAAATACAATTTTTCCTTGGACTTTAAAAATAACGAATTCCATTCTGCGTCTGAGGACATAGCGTTATTTGGAGTTAATGATGAAGATGTTAAATCTATCCACAAAATTATAGCACAAGACAATATCACAATACCCGCAAGAACCGAGTTTTTACTTCCTGGATCCTTAGCCGAAAACAGAGATTTCCGCTACGGCATCATAGAATATCCCAATAACTGTAACAGTCCGAAAGGAGTACTAATAGCCTCAACACTCGTCGACCTATCGAGAACGGTTATCCCGGTGAGAGTTGCCAATATAACTGAAAAGGCGAGAGTTATTAAGAAAGGTGAAGTGGTTGCAGCATGTACTCCAGTAACCAGCGTTGAAAGAAAGAGTAACATCCCAGAATCTGTGTCCTCAGCGAGCATTATATTGGAGTTATTGCAGAATGTGCAATTAAACGATGAAGAGAGGAATGCTGCCGATCGCGTCATTAAAGATCTTCAAGTTGTTTTCTCTCGCTCGTCTTCTAACGTGGGTCGAACCAGTTTGACACAACATAGAATCGATATCGGCGGTCATTCCCTGATCAAGCAACATCCAAGACGTCTACCGTTTGCTAAACAGGAAGAGGTACGAACACTTTTAAAGGATATGGAAGAAGACGATGTCATCGATCCTTCAGCAAGTCCATGAGCATCTCTCATCGTTCTTGTCAGAAAGAAAGACGGCTCAACAAGATTTTGTGTTGACTATCGCTGGTTGAATGATGCTACGAAGAAAGACAGTTACCCTCTTCCTAGAATTGACGACATTCTAGACACTCTTTCTGGAAGCAAGTGGTTCTCAACACTTGATTTAAAGAGTGAGTATTGGCAGGTAGAAATACACCCTGAAGACCGAGAAAAGACGGCATTTACTACGGGACAAGGGCTTTGGCAATTCAAGGTGATGCCGTTTGGACTGTGTAATGCGCCGGCAACATTCGAACGCCTCATGGAGACTGTTTTGAAAGGTCTTTCCTACGAAGCCTGTCTGATATACCTGGACGACATCATCATCGTCGGAAAGAGTTTTGAAGAACATTTAGAAAATCTTAGGAAGGTGC